AATTTAAGACGGTGAAATAGAGCCAGTTGAATCTCAGGAGGCTGAAAATATTGAGTTTGAATTTTGAAAGGTTGAATTTTTTTATATGCAGATTTTTTTAACAATGAAAAATTAAACTGAAAAATAAGTATTGAAAATGTAATAACTTTGAAATAGTAATGTGAATTTTTCAGAAGTAATGACAATGAACTTCTTTTTAGGTCAAAAATGTGTTCTGAATATATTTTAACACTGAAACAATAAGCAAAAACATACATTTAAATGTCAGTGGCATTTTTAATTTAAATCCCAGCGACAGAGATTTACTTCCATAAAAATCTCTGTGCATGTTCTCTGCTAGAGGTAAGATACTGACAACTGATAGATGTTTCACACAAATTTGAAAATACTGGTCTACCAAAACATGCATTTATTGGGAAAATGAATGCATATTTTGACTAAATTGAAGAACCAGTCATTTTTACAGAGTTTATATTGAATTTTCACACAAGTTAAATTATTTCCCAAAGAGAGGAAAGACAACAAAAGGTTTGTTGGATTTGTAAAAGCCTACCTGTTGATTTAGCTCCATGATCTCTGCATCGCTGCCCCCATTTCTGGACAAAGATGGATTCTTCCTTATAACAGGCATGGTGTGTTGGACCCGCTGTGGTGTTGGCATGTTTTTAGGAACTGTTGGAGATGTTCTCTGTGGTCCTGGAGTTGTCAGAAATAGGGGAAACTGTTCAGCGTCCCTCATTAAACTGATCAGAAAATAGACTTGAGCGTCATAGCAATAGTTGCGATAGATCCAGCTCATTCTAGAGCGCTGATGCTCCCAGCTTGTAGCATGATGTGCCTTTGATATGTCTTATTAGGAAAACATTTTTAACTGTTGTTATTATAAAATAAATAAAATTACGTTGAAGATCCAAATATTGCTTTAAATAAAAGTTGGGTTATTTAATAACCAACTAAAAACAACTAAAAAGCTAATGCTTCAAAGACAAAACATGCCATCAAACATAAATACATTTCTGAAAATCAGTGCAGTCACTCTGCCCCATTTCCACCTACACAGCCAAGTAGTGACGGAGTCACAGAGCAGTTTTTTCTTTTTTGCAACCTTCAATCAAGGTTATTCTCTATGATTTTAAAGCTACAGAACAAGGACTCTCATAACGTTTGTTAGAAATCAGATCAAAACTTTTTTATTTGTTATTAAAACCAGGTTTTTGGAAGAAAATGGGTACGTCTCAATATATGCGAATATTATTGGAAAATGTATTTATTCGAGTAAATCAATTTCATGTCAAAAAATGTATATCTATATATACTTATAGATTTAAAGCCTTTGTTTGTTTAGATATTCAGGAATTAAGACTTACAGCTAATCAAAACCTAAAATTCAGTTTCTCCAAAAAATAAAAACAATCTCTATGTTTCGTAGCACACAACTGTAACGGCCATGCTAGGTATGCAGACTGTTGTTACAAGTAGTTGTGAAAGAATGGGTCGCTCTCAGGAGCTCAGTGAATTCCAGCGTGGAACTGCGACAGGATGCCACCAGTGCAACAAATCCAGTTGTGGAAAATCAGAAAAGGGAAGTGTTTGGAAACGACAGCAGCTCAGCCAACAAGGACTAGGCCAGGTAAAGTGAATGAGGATCAGCGGATACTGAGGCCGATAATGTTGGCACAAGGTCGATGACCTCATTTGTCAATCATTACTCTAGAAATGAGCCTTTGTCATCTGTATATTGGCTAAAATAACAGTTAAACACAGCATCTGGTTTTGTAGATTTGTTTATTTTTGTTGTTTTGGGTGCAGTGGGTTTGTTTGGGGTGTGGTGTCTTTGCTAGGCCACATCTTGTTTCAATTTTTGTAAAAAGGTAAATTAATTTCACTTTACAATATTTTGTTTTTGCTTAACTCCTTCTAAAACGGAAACGTATGAATTGAAGACTTAAAATATCAAAACTCATTGTGAAATATTCACCTCTGCTGTTTCACTCTCAAAGCAGGTGTGCACAGGACTGCACCATTTCAGAATTGAAGGGGGGAGGTTGATCTCATGTATGGTGTTTTCTACATTAAGTTTGGAGTATTTGTTTGGGTTGAATTGAAATATATATATATATTTTTTGGGGGTATTTTTTGGTGAAAGTATTTCTTAATTAGATGTTCATTTTAAACCAATTTTCTTTTTTCTTGTTATTTTGCAGCTGCACATCCTTTCAAAAATGGTTTCTTCCAATTTAGTTCCACCTCTATATAAGAAACATGTCTGCCATTGTTCTTGGTTAATGGTGTGGTTTGGTTGATGTGTGCACCAAATAAAATTAAAGACTTGTTAGCTGAAAACTCTTTGGAGCATGTTCTTCTTTAAACCGGTTTGGGTCCCACCTCAGAGACTGTTTGGCCTCCTGACGAGCGTGTGACAATTACACACCTTCAAACTTTATGTGGCCTTCAGATTAACTCAAAAACGATGCCCAGAGAGCTCTATGGAAGGGTTTTCATGGTGAAGCAACTGCATCTTAAGCATACCTCACCAAGTGCAATGCAAATGGTCTGATGCAGCACTGTAAAGCACATTGCCACCGAACTGATCGGAGTAGTGGAGACATTTTCTTGTTTGGAGGACGCCAGGAGAAAGGTACTTTTTCT